AATTCATAATAATTTAAGGGTGATGGATAAGAGTTACGTTCAATAGTTGCTTCATGAATAATCCTATCTATTTCATCAGTTGTAATTCCAGGCCTTACTGCTGCTGCTCCAATATCCAATACTTCACGAGCAAGCTATTTTTACCAAAAATATAAATATGATGAATGAATACAAAATAAATGTTATTTGTTTTAAAAAAATCTTTAAAAGAATAATCCTACCCTGCATACAATTCTCATTGCTTCTATTTCTTCATTATTTAATACCGCTATCGTCGTCGTGCTACGGCTAGATTGTTCAGATATAGAAATGCCTAATTATGTATGTGATAAAAATTATTATTATTATTTATTATTATATAAAGAATTTCGTTTTATAAATTATTTAGTTAGTTGCCTCTAGGATGATCCGCATAATCAGGTTTTGCAATATGTGGAGGAATTGACCTTCTAGGTGATAAAGGATATATTGCACGCAATGTCCCGGTATAAACAAAGTCTTTTATATATTTTTCTGGTACTAAAATCATTTTCACATAAAAAAAGATCAATCAGAATATTTGGGGGAAAAAAATGTATCCTTTAAAACTTACCTTTAGGTATTGTTTGGTGTATCGATTTATGTGTAGACTGGGTAAAAATCCAAATTTTACATTAAAAAGCTAAGGACGCGGAAAACTTTCGAGACAATTGTCTTTTTTTCATTTTTACCCACTAGTTTTTTACAAATAATAAATTTTAAAATAATTACCCAGTTTTTCTTGAAACAGTCTTGTGAACAAAAATAAGAACCTGAAATTTTAGCTTTTAAACATGTAGGGCATTGTAATTTTGCTGGCTTATTACAATCTTCTCCTTTACAAAATTGTTGTTGTACTTCATTCATTTTTACTAATACTAAAGTGTAAAAAAATTAGCACATGATATTATTTTTTTTTTGACGAATAATTATTTGTGTTTGTATGACCTTGATATTAATTCAAAATTTTTTCTATCGCAATAAAAAAATAACAACAAAAGCCTTAAAAAAAAAAATCATTTCAAAAATGGCAATTGCACCAATTACAGGAATACTTCGTAAAAAACTTTATACTGATATTGTGATTTCTTTTGCTTTGGGTACTGCTGGAGCTTATGCTTACTGGTATGGTATTCATCTATCATATGCCAAGAAAAAAGATGCTTATTATAACAAACTTCAATTGGAGAATAAATAAATTATTAAATTAATCGGTTGCTGCAATGAAACTAGTATGTTGAATTTATATCTTTGTTGTATGTTTAATGAATTAATTGTTAATTAAATTTTTTTATTTTGTAGACAATCTTGTCACATAAAACAAATTTGATCATAATAAGGAAGAATCACAACTTATTATAAATAAATTAAAAAATTTTTTTTTCTTTTATTCATTCATTTTAATTAATTAAAGTTCGATTCAAGTTGTTCTAAACTTATCATCACATCTATAATATTCAAATATATTTTGCTGATAGCAATTATATTTTATAATTATTATAATAAAATAATCATATAAATTGTTGAGAAAAAATGGAGATAATTTATTTGAATTTATTCTTTAATTTT